TTGAATGTATAGAAAAGGAGAGAAAAGTTTACGAAACTAAAGAAGTTTAAAAATTGAGGTTTTTAGACTTTGAAAGAAAATTGTTAAAAAATGCAGAACGTTTTGAAGAAAGGTGGTGAAATGCTGGATGTGATCTCATTTTGTAGCCCAGACTTTCCTCCACATTGAATATACTCAGCTCAAAATTCAAATTTTTTTCAAAAATAGAAGGGTGGCGTTATCCTTAAGAGTCAGTGCACGAGAGTCACAACAAGCCATGCTCAATCAGTTTTTCAGAATTGGCTGTAACTAAGTTTACACTACTAAGTTTTTAGCTTTCTTAATCTTGTCGTTCTGTAGATACGAGNACAATCTATCGTAGACATTGAGTACTATATACGCTGAAAAAATCTTGATCCTATCTCTTTGCATTCTCGAGATATATCAATTTTATGTTTTTTACCCATTTATTTTCTAGAACGATGTCGTTTGCAAAAAATTCTCGTAACTACAGAACAAAAAGATCAAGAAAGCTAAAAACTTGGATTTATAGGTTTTCGAGTATGCTCTACAAGATGAGACTAGTTACAGCCAATTCTAAAAAATTGATTAAGCATGCTTCTGTGGCAAACAGGCGTTTTTCTCATGCAATGACTCTTAAGAGTAGAATAACATAAAAACCTACTTGAAATAAATAATATTAAAAATTCTATGGCACTTTTAACATTAGTGCTAGATAAATTTGTGGTAAATGCATTATAAATATAAATGCCAGTATTACACCAATCGACTGAATTGGCAACTGTTTGAATTATATTTGGCTTATTCGTATCAATAAATAATTTTTCAATAAAAAATCGATTTTTTATCGTTGAAATAATAATATTTAAAACATCTTGATTATCGTTTCTTTTTAAATTATACAATAATACTAATGAATTTAATATTTTTACTCTATCAAATCTATAACTAGAATAAAATGTACTCCTTTTATCATCATATAATATATAATTTATGAATTCAAGACATTCTTGTTTTAATTTAATTTGATTTTTATCATTTTGTACTACGGTTTGACACGTTTTAGGAAATGCATTTACCATACTTTTATCATCGAGTAAATGCCATTTACGATTATATAGAATTAATAATAAAACACTCATATGGTACCATATTCCATTTTGGTTCCTTCATTTCCTTAACAAAGACGATAAAAAAACAATCTTTATGCACTTTTCAGTCTAAATTTTAAAATGAGAAAGAAATGAAAGAATAAGAATTACCCGTTTCTTTTTCGTCTGTTTTATACGGTTCTAATGATTCCCATATTGTTTTATTAGCCATAAATTCTGTTTTATTAACTGAAATCATTTTTTTACCAGAAAATTGGAATGATTTGCATAATTTTTGAAAATAATTTTCATCTCCTCCATTAACAATTATTAAATTTTCAATATTTGTCTCTGTTTCTGTAAATTCATCATTTTCTGGCCAATCTAAATTTTGTTCAATATAATGACTCATTAAACCAAAATACAATAAATATTTTATATTAGAACAATTTAAACTTAATTTTTCTACAGAACGTTTTAATAAACTAGCAATACTGCGATCTTTATTTTTCAATAAACTTGATGACATATTCGCTTTTGTCTAAAATATATAAAATATGAACATAAATTCGTGTTAATCTACGGTGCCGATAATGCAAAAATGAAGCAGGATTATTTTTTCGTTTTTTCGGCTATGGACCTCATCAAGTTACATAGAAAAAAAGCTCATTTTAGACTTTCTGAAGTCATTTTTGGGTGAAAAATTATCAAAATATTGACTTTTAAAAACAGGCAAAAATATATGAAATTCTAAGAACTTTTTCATACTTATTCTTGCCCTATGATTTTGAATCTAGGTTTTTTTCTGATTTGATATGCAAAACTGACTATAGAAAACCAAAGGCGACGACTATAAGTTTCAGGATGTTTGACCCCAAAACGGGATATGTATGAGCTTGTAGAGAAAGACTTGCTCTATCCAGTAGTGTATGTATTGTCGAATCCCAATATGCACCGTCAGAGAAAATGAAACGTAACCCCTCATTTTTTAGACATTTTTAGAAATTTATTTTATGATTGAGTTTAATATTGTGCATCAGAGCCCGAATCGGGTCTTACGTGGATGACCCGAACCCGACACGACCCGAATCAATATTTTTTATATTAACCCGACCCGAAGGCTTTTGGACCCTATCCGAAATTTTCAAAACTGGACCCGAATGACCCGAAAATTTTTCTTTGTTGGCCTAACAATAACCCGAAACAGAAAACCGTTTGTCTCGATCGTGTATTGTCATGAAGTCTAATCATCATAATGCGACATACGTAAATCGTTGGTTTTTTTTTGATTTACTTATGTTTCTCTTTTTTCTTTTCTTTGACACCAGCACTCGCTGAGTGCACAGCAATTTCTCTTGGAGATATTCTGTACTAGCTATGTTTACAATCTGTGTTATGACTCATGACTTTTTGTCAAAATAAACTAAGCTAAATAAGATAAAAACTACAATGTAAAAATGTATGTGAGATTTGGTTACTCTTTGAACAGGAATTTGCACAGAGCTTGAAACGGTTATCTGACCATCACTAATATTGGACAACTCCATTGAACTACTATTATGATTAATTTCCATATTCTGCACAATTTACGAAGGGCGAAACAGTCTCATATACATTTGCAAAAATATGGTGAGACACATACTTCAGAATTATTTTGACTATTATCAATAACGATATTAGCTGGCGCCTCTTAGATGAAACTCTTGAAGTCATTCTTGATCTTTTTTTTTCGTAAATTGTGCAGAATATGAGAATATGTATATTCAATGATAATAGCATAATGATTCGGTTCTATACGAACGCTCAGTGTACTTATAATATGTTCAAAATGAATACGACATATCATCCATATTTCATCAAAAAAAGATTTTTCTGCTTCGTTATCCATGTGATTAATGTTGCGTGTTTTGATCGCTACTATTTGAAAACGACTTGACCATGTTCCACGATAAACCTTACCAAAAGAGCCCGAACCAATGTTTTCTTCTAAACATAAATCATTAAAAGATATTAATAAATCTTGTAATAATGTTTTTCCCATATTTTTTTCATCAAGAGTGTAAAGATAATTTTTCAATGAATCAAATCGTCTGTTCACTAGCTCGTCTAATTGTGAATGGTTTGTCAATAATTGATCGTGCTGCTGGTATTGAACATTTTTCTGTTCCTTCATCAATTCAAGTATTTCACTTTGGTTTCGTCTAATTTCTGCAAAATCTAATTCTTGATCATTTTTATCATGTTTTTTATCAAATATTTTTATGATATTTATTCCTAAATTTAAATCAGTTGCATATTGTGAAAGACGATTATTTATTTCGGAAAATTCATTCTTATGAGTGTTATTTTTAAACGATTTTTTATACTATGCTGCATCGGTAAATTTTCGAATTAACTTATAATAGTCATTGATACAGATGCAGAGTCCATTAAGACTATTTTGCAATTCTGATTGATTTAATTTCATTTCGTCTGTAGCGTTTAGAGGAGTAACGATAAATTGAATACGTTCGACTAATCTTTTGCATTGTCGACTGTTCGCTTTCACATGATCTATTGTTTTATTGATCACTTTTACAACTCCAAAGATGGTTTTTATAATTGTAAGAGGCTCCATGGGATACTAATCCTTTGAGATAAATGCAATGGAACAAAAATGTTTATTTATGAATGAATCGCAAGGATTAATATAAAAAAATGTATGCTTTTACCAGCGTATAATCAATTTTGAAAATTTCGTATGTTAATGGGACGAAACTTAATAACAAACAAAAATAGGTAAAAATTAGAAATTAAAATATAAGTACAAAATATTTTTGTACTTATAGAAGAAACAAAAAAATGTTAAAGTAAATATGTATAGATACAAATAAGAAGTTGAAGAAAACAGTACGACTTTTAGAACAACTTCTCTTTTAAAAAATCGGATTTGAATAATTAAGCCAATTAAGAATGTATCACAAACAACTCTTTGGGATCAAAAGAAGCAATAAATAATCACGTTCTATAAGTGTATCGATGTAAGTGCTTCTTCAAAGATTATGCATCTTGATATGATCTAAAAGCCCGGAAGATATAATTAATATTCGTATGTGCAGAATCAAAAGTGGCATAAAGTTCTTGCAACTTCGTTCTTGAAAAAACATGTGTGAAACCTGATTTTTTCCCAGACCCACATATTTTTTCATGAAGTTTGTGAGTAAAACGAGTAGATAAAAGACCTCTGTAGGTGTCTGGCAATGCTAGATACATTGCGCACATGTGTGCCGCATATACTTCTACCTATGCGGATATTTTTCTCAGAATCTGGAAGCCAAAACAAATACATTTTTTTATCATAAGGTATATGAGTAAACAACAATTTGTAGTTCTGAATTAATACGAAAGCCAGGGTTACACATTCATGTTCTAGAAATCTGATGCATTAAAATGTGTGCGGCTGGAAGTCTGAAGTGGATTTCTAGAGACTAGGTTTATCAGTGACTTATTTCGGAAACCGCATAAGAACAGTAACGACTATTATATCCGAAACCAGCGTAAAAAACTACTTCTGAAAAGTATGTTTTAGTGAAAACACGATATAACACTCGTGGAGGTTCTCTCGTAACTTTAGTAGCATGTCTGATTTAGTAATTAACAAATATGCCTATATAAAAGTCTAGACGAGCGAGAATCACATTATGTTTTGTAATAATTGAATATTTTTTAGTAGAATATGAATTATTTTTCTTTAATTTGAGAATGGAAGAGTGCGTACAATAGTTACAAACTTTATGAAAGTATACAAATTAAAACACTGATAGATTCATATAAAAATCGTAATGAGTCGTGTCAAAATTTATAGAATTTTTATATAAGATATTTTTGAGTCAACTTCTTCATACATTAATAAAATAATTTTCTTTCTATTTATTTTGTTTTTCTAGAATAAGACCTTAGTGGGCAGTCTATAGACCGGATTTATTTCTCCACATTTATCACGACTATAGGAAGAGTATGAAGTTCGAACAAATAAAATTATGTAAGAGAAGAATACAGGGCACGACATCGCTTGTTTGCGCAAATTCTCGCTTTTTCGAACCGTTCTCTAGCCTTGTGCGATCCTTTTATTGTCTACAGTCTTTTATTGGCATTCAAATCAGCCTGCCCAAGTCGTAGAAGACAGAGCAGCTCGACAACTACTAATATACATCAAAATTTCTTTCATAGTTGTTCTAATAAAGCACTAGAAGTAGTCACAAGAGAACTTCCTGTACACCCACGTCTTGCAGAAAGAGAAAATCTGCACAAGTTCTTTAAAGATTTTTTTTCTTGAAAATTCTTGATCAAGATTTATTGATACCTCTGCACTTGATGTCCTTGGAAAAACTTGATCAAGATCTTG